TTTTACAGTTGGTTCAGTATGAATTATTCGAAATCTGCCAAAACACCTATGAATTACGTGAGTCTAGGAGTCATCTGGTGGATTCTAGGTGAATTACTTAGGAAATCCTGCTTGGGCAGTCAACTTACTGTATCAGATTTGGTGGATTCCAGACGTTGCAGTAGGTTAGAAGAGTAACTTAACCCAAATGTGATTAAACTCGAATCGTCCGGCGGGCCTCGTAGCTCAAGTGGTTAGAGCGTTGGCTGTACTAAAGCCTTCCCCTTACTGTGTGGGTTAGAATCCCACCGAGGCGCCGAGTTTTTCACAGTCGGGTCAATATGAATTATTCAAAATCTGCCAAAACATCTATGAATAAACCGTTTAACCCTTTTGGGGCTTCTAGGCTGATTTGAGTTTCCCTTTTTAGGTTGTTATACAACTTTTCTGACAGAAGAATCAGTCCGCTGTTCATGCCTACCACCGAAGTCAGTACACGCAGTAGCCAGGTTTTCCCCGAACCCGCGTTTACTTTTGATTGCGATGAGTACAAATTGACCAGCGCCACCCTCCTCGGACTAAATATCGCACCCTTCCACCTGGCAGGTTGTGAGTCACAGACTCAACTCGCAAAGCATTCAATCAACGACCGAAGCGCCTAGGTTCGAGTCAGGGGTCTTTCTGGGCTGACAACGGCACTTACGTTAAAAGCGGACCTTCCATTTGCCCATGTCTCCGCCTGTAATATTTCTCGGCTAGAATTTGGGCAGGGCCTCGTAACTCAAGTGGTTAGAGCGTTGGCTGTACTAAAGCCCTCCCTCTTACTGCGTGGGTTCGGATCCCACCGAGGTGGTCAATATGAATTATTCAAAAGCTACCAAAACATCGATGAATTCCGTGAGCCTGATAGTCATCCGGTGGATTCTAGGTGAATTACTTAGGAAATCCTGCTTATTGTATCAGATTTGGTGAATTCCAGACGTTGCAGTAGGTTGGGCGGGTAAATGTGATTAAATTCGCGTCGTCCGGCGGGGCCTCGTAGCTCAAGTGGTTAGAGCGTTGGCTGTACTAAAGCCCTCCCTCTTACTGCGTGGGTTCGGATCCCACCGAGGCGCCGAGTTTTTCACAGTTGGGTCAATATGAAACAACGTTTTCACAATCAGCGGACCGTCCATGGCTCTGATTTTGCGAAGACCTATCGCCTGTGTAATAGGCGTTTTCCAAGAGGCTCCTGATCTTCACAACGATTACCTCGTGCAGGCAGGAGGTTCGGAGCGTTGAGTTGATAAAACGTTACTTTCATCGTTGCAAGATCTGGTCGGCAGTCACATTTAAGTGACATACGAGTTCGTCTGGCCGTCCGTTCCTCACCAAGAACATATGCGCCTCTGCGGTGTTCCCGCTGTTTCTTTCGCTACCTTCCTGCTCCAATTAATTGATCTTGCCGGAGTTATTGTCAGCTGCATCCGTTTTTTGTCAACTAACTCGCCTTTTTTGCCTTCCAACCACCACAAAGGATATTTCGCCTGGCGAAATTCCAACACTGGCAGTTGGTTCATCCAGGAGTTGTGCACCGTGCTGGGCGCCGATGCCGCCAGCTCCGGAGAGCATTTCGACATCGTCACCCTGCTCACCGTGGTCTCCCGGAAGGTGGCCCTCCTCTACGAATCGAATACCGGTCAGCCGGGATCTCACGGCATGAAGCAGATGGTCAGCGTGAGCTCAACCCTCACCCGCCGTGCCTTTCTCACTGGCTAACAGTAGCAGTAACAGCATCGTTTGCGTTTTACCCTCTTACGACCAACCGTAAAAATCATGCCGTCCCTCCCAACCCGTCCGCTCTCAATCTGCATTTTGTCTATATATGTATATTTATGCCAGGATTTCGCCATGCTGGTCCGGTCATTTTTTTCAATCCATGCCACTCTAGTCCCAAGGAATTGTCTCATCTTGTCGGGACGTCGCTGTTCGCCTCTCCCTGTTCCCCCCCCCCCACTCCGCATGCTTTTCGCAATCCTACTAATGCCTACTTTGCAAATAAACTTCACTCTGAGGGAGATGCTTCCGTACTACGAATTGTTTGCTAATACAGGCAGTGGGGGCATGATGGGAAGAATTTCGTCGGGAATCACAGTTGACGTCATCAGACCTCGCACCGGCGCCAGCCGCTGTAAGGTCACACTGCTTCCTTCTCTCGACCCGTAAGATCGAGTGTCTCATCCGTTGGAGGCTTCACAAATCATGCCTTTTGGGGTGTCATGATAATTCCACAGCCCGTAGCGAAAAAATGTCACTAGCTACTCGAATCTGCTTGTTTTTTCACGTGAACCAATGCCATCTGCGTGTACCCTCGATTCTCTAAAGGCCTAACTCCGTTGAAGATAGGGTATGGCCGAGGTGAATAAGCTTACTTCAGTTACTTTCCCTGTGTTCAAAACAGGTTGACGGGGCCCAAGAATAAACCCTCTCCCATCGTGGGCCATTCACATGTTCGGCACGATTATATTTGCTTGCTGAGAAACTTCGAACATGTCCTCTGACCTGCAAAAGCCCCATGCGGTGAATAGTTCTCACAGTCCCGGGCGTGGCAAATGATTATGATGACTCAAGCTATCTCTTCACAGGCCTCTGAGACGCGGATGTACGAAAGGAAGGCGGTCTAAAACGACCGCCAGCCTCGGGAATGCTTAGTGTGTGACTGGTGATGTGAAATTCTGTGGTGTGGACTGTTGCTCCCTCCAGTCTCTTGGATGTGGCGAAGTAACTGCCCCAGCCTGTCTGCCTGATCGATCCTTAGTCCTTGTTTGGGCGGGCCCCAGGCAATTGCTTCTCTCCGCACGCCAAGGCTAAAGCGCATCACCGGTCATCTTCAATTTGTCTTTCTGTCGGAAGGCAGTGGGTGTAGGACAGAAGTGTGAGGTAGATGCGTCGACAGTCCGCTTCACTACGAACGGATTCACGCACGTCTCTGCTACTGGGTCCACTTCGGTGGGACAGCGGTGGATCGCCTCGTCCGTTGCAGTCCAACCATCCGACGGGCAGTCTGTGCCTGCATGAAATAGACTGAAGTAACCATTTCTGTCATAAGTTTTGTCATGCGCCACCTGTGTCCAAATTTCAGGAGGGCGCGTGCAATGTGGACCTGAGTCAGTTGGTCAAATGGTCCAGTATACGAGCCAAAGGTTCGCTCTTTTTCGGGCAAGATCGAAGGGCATATGCAGCTGTGCTTTTAATGTGTTTGCTCGTCCTATGGTGAAAACGTTCGTTCCTGTGTTGTCATGGCACTGCGGATCCAGGGCCGCCGCGTGGGCTGTAATCCGTCGCGGATAGCGTCCGACAGGAGGGGAGTGCAAGAATGTTAATTCATCGCTCTCTTGGCGCCATCAGTCGCCCTGCGCGCCCACCTAGATTGGGATACGTCCCTCCTCCCCTCATTGACGTCAAAAATGCCTAAAACGACTGTCCCGTCCTCTCATCTGCTTGTCGGTAGTAATTATCAGTTCTTCAGTTTCTGTCAGTTTGCCAATTGAACGACTGCCCACGTGAGATTTTGACCAGACCGTCTAGACCAAGCAGAGATGTCCGTTTCCGTTCTCCCACTGGAGACGCCTCTCGCAAACCCCCCTCCCCCTTAAAACTGTCCAGAATGTTTGTCGTGTACAAGTGAGGCTTGCGTCTATGGTTATATTTAGGCCTATAGCTTGGGTTTGGTGGCCGCTACAACGAACTGCGACACAGAAGTGTTGGACTAACACCGGGCTGCACTGACTCCTTCCGAGCATATCCCTATTACCGCACGCCTTAAACGTAGGCCTCCATGCCGCGTCAGTCACTGCGCCCAGTCCCATTATTAACTGACCGACAAGCCCGAATGGCCGGTTGGTGCATTGTGGGAGTGATAAGAGAGGCTAACATTGGGAGATCTTTTCGCCAGGGCATACCGACACATTCCTGACTAATAATAGATTTGACGTGCTTGGAAATTTCGGTAAGCGTTAAAGAACGTGACTTTGAAAGTTGCCAGTTGGCGGGCTAACTCGATCCCTCTCGGGACTGACAATGAGGCTGCAATGACTCACGCATGTCAGTTCTTAGTCGCTTGTGCCACATGTGGCGGAGATCGGGTGTGTGGCACGCGTAGACGGGTCGACCGATTTTGTGGGCCATTGCGTCCCTCAACTCACCTCCCGTCCTTTTCACTCTGGACTTGACTATGTGTGACCGTGTTTATGATTAAAATCAGAAGGGTCACATTCTGGGAAGCGGAAGTGTGCGCCCAATCGTCTGACCAGGGTAGCTTGGCAAACAGAAGTCTGATCTTTTTATCGTATCTCCACCTAAATACTTTACTCCGATTTACTAATAATTCAGAACGAAAATATCCATTTCTGGCATGCGGTCAGGAGTCGTCTGCCTTCGTCTCTTGCGCACGCAATGGTCCAATAACGCGATTGTTTCGATAGACCAGTTCACCAAGACGAGTGGAATATCTGTTATGACCCGCCTGGCACTTGGAAGCCCATGGGGCGTATACGCACTCTACCCTTGTCCCCAATACCAAAGCAGCGGACAACGAAAACACGACCGGCCACGGAAATTGTACTAGAAAAACACTGCAACTCGCGACTAGCTGAAGGGTGACGCATATTTATAACACCCTTCTATGGTTCGCCGGCATTCGGCTCAATGACCTTCGGGAAGGGAGGAGTAGGCAATGGAGATGAAGATAAAGATGATAGCGCTGTAGAGAGAGAAAACGCACGTGGTCTCCAGTGCTTGGTAGGCTCTTGTTTTTGGGAGTGTAGGCACTTCCAACAGTATCGTTATCCAACTTGCGTTTGTTCGGGGCTAATATTGTTTTGTCGTCTGGATTAGGATATCGGCGACAGCCTCCGAGACTGTAATGACTTGCGTTGTCTGACCAATCATAGGACTCGTCTCTATGTGTTAGCTAAGGCGACTATAACATCCGGACAGTGCCTATCTTCTTGAAAAAGTAAGCACGCCAGAAGCAGCATTGTTCACCGATAATTTCGAAGGCACCCTGAGACCCAATTGCCATAATCATCATCATCATCATCATCATCATCATCATCATCATCATCATCATCATCATCATCATCATCATCATCATCATCATCATCATCATCATCATCATCATCATCATCATCATCATCATCATCATCATCATCACCACCATCATCATCATCATCATCAATCATCCATAAATATAACACATTCTACAAAACAGTTTCCCCCCTGGAATTGAATTTTGCGGCAACCTTTGTTCTCGCCACCTTCCCGACCACCAAATGGAACCAAAGCCTTGCCCAAGTCAAACGAAGTGGATGAAATGCCGGTGAGAGCTTTTATTTCAAAACAAATTCCACTGCGATCGACCGTCTGTCCGCCATACTTCACATTACTGCGTTTTCTCTTAGAGAACAGTCGACTACTGGATTTGCAAAATCGTTTTTAAACACAACCGATCATGCTTTATCGCATTTATTGACTTGCTATCCATAGCTTCTCACGTAGTGCCATAGAGATGAGATTGAAAATTACCCTGCCATGCATTCATTCTCGGTACTTATGCATTTCACCAAAACAGTTTATTTCAGGAAAACTCAGTACCGCTTTCAACAACTGCAGTGCTTGTTTAAAAGAAGGTGAAGGCACGATCACTGGGATAGTAGGTTTATTTGCCTGAGCTTTCGAACTCGAACTAGAGTTCATCATCAGAGGCTACTCGAGTGCAGCAAATTGTGAACATTTATATCGTTCATCCTTGCGGGGGGAGGGGAGGGGGAGTACGTCCGTGGCTAGGTAGGGTTTGTGTCGCCTGGTCCACGATGTTCCCCCGGCGTGGTGACGCCGTTTGTACTTAGCGACGGTGTGAGCTGCGCCACCTGACTGCGTGGGCGGAGAGCGTGATAACACGCAGGAAAATCGATGTGTCTGTTGATGAAGGTGGTGTCCGACACCTACGCTTCCAACAGCTCTCGCCCTGTCTTGTTGCCGGCTCGCGCCAATATCCGCGTGTTGCTGGACTCGAGTAGCCTCTGATGATGAACTCTAGTTCGAGTTCGAAAGCTCAGGCAAATAAACCTACTGTCCCAGTGATCGTGCCTTCACCTTATTTTAAACAAGAGCCTAGGATGCACATATGCTCTTCCATTCGTGCAGTGCTTGTTTTTGCTTAAAGACCTTTACTTTTGATAGCGTGTTTTGCGATACAATGACACTGATAAGCGACCCATTTGCGACTGTTTACGACATTCCAAATGTGCCGTGAATTTGGTCACACAGTGTTTTTTTCTCGATGTGGTCTGTAAAAAACAAACTAACCGCCCTCCAAGCGAACTGCCTTAAACCTACTGAATCCCCTTCTGAACTGGTGCAGACCAGTTTTTTCTTCTAAGTTCGTGTTTTTCGCGTGCTAACCTTGTCGTCGTGGGTGGGGGAGAGAAAGAAAGCTCAAAGTTCAACGTGGCAGAAAAAGCTTGTCAAACACATGAGAACTGAAGGTATTGAGGGTTTTGCCACAGCTCGACCACCGACAGTCGAGCACACTCCCCCGCAAATGATTTTTATCTGGGTGGAAGGTCGCGACAAAAACTTTAGTCCGACTTTTTGCGCACGTGGTTCTACAGTGCATGCGCGATATTTGTCATGCTAGTGACTTAGGGATCAAGCATTTTGACGAAGCGAGCACTGCTTATTCTAAGTGGGGAAGATAGAGGCTGTCCGACCTACGGAATCCTTTATTTATTTGTCTGAGCTTTCGAACTCGTACAGGCGTCCATAGCTAGAGATAACGGCGGCAACGGTTATAGGAGTTAGGAACCAATCAAACATCAGTGACACCGGTCTGGAGGTGACCGGACAGGGTCCCGCATAACGACACCAGCTCGATACGTCGTTCGGCTGAGTTTGACATTAATAATAATGTTCTCACGAACTATCGAGTTATATTTCACGAGCCTTGCGTGAGAGAAGCCGTAAGTAAAACCGGTTGGCGAATAAAATTGATATTCAAGACGTAAAATGACGTGACAGCGGAGCCTACCAGCGAAGCGGGGATTGTCCAGCAATATTGTGTCTGTCCCATTAAAACAAGCAATACAGTAAAGAAAAACAGGACGAGATTGTCAAAGGTGAATTATTTTGGTGCCTCACCACAAGTTCTCCTGTAGGACCCAGGCTTCGATCAGTTTTCGGTTTCTTTAGTTTTTTGGCGTGGATGTTTATCACCGCGGCTGCGGTGTTAGATTCGCGACACATTGTGTAGTTGTGGGCAGTCACTTGTGACGATCCGTCACCCCTTCCGCAGCCAACTTATGTTCGTGTATGCGTGAATCAAACATTCGTTCGGTCTGACCTGTGTAATTACATTGGCAGTTAAGGCACGGAATGTGATGCACTACACCCGAATGCTCATTGGGATTTAATCGATCCTTAATTCTCATGACCCTTCTCCGCATGGTACCTTTGGACCGGCGTGCTATTCCGACACGTGTAGTTCTGCAACAACGCGTCTGGTCGCCTCTGGCACCTCCTTGGTGTATGACAGTGCATGACGTACGATAAGTGCTGTTTCCGTATGGATCCTTCGGAGGGTGACCTCTTAGGCATTGACTTATGAACTTGTTCGAAGGGTTATTTCGCATAAATGGATCGCGGAGATATCGGGTCTCAAGTGTCCATTCTTCTGGCTTGCTGCAATGCATCTGAATCCGTCTGTAGAGCGTTTTCACACACAGTTTCCTGTCTGAACCACCGGATGGCTAATGTGAAAACTGAGACACTGTGAGGAGATTGTCACCTCCCGGTAGATCGCTGTTTCTATTTCGCCTGCCGGGTGAAGGCAATCATTTCCGGCTCTTTTAGGAGCGAAAATTAAGGAGCCCACTGGAGTTCCCTTAATTTGCTCATAGATTTCTAAGAGCCTCATGAGATGTGGGTTCTGAGTCTCGCTGCGGGACTCCACAAATTTCCTGTACAAGACTTCCTACGCTAAACTCGCCGGTATGGATGTGAATAGCGGTGTCGAGTCGAAGGAGACTATGGTTTCATCAAATCAAATCCTCCGATGTCGGTGATCCACAAGGAATTGTGAGACCGGATTTGGGCAACGGTAGGGTGTAAGACCCCAACCAACTTGAAGTAGCCTGTGGACTGTGCCATACGTTGAATGTTGGTAGAGTGGGCAACACACGGGACAAGGAACAGGCGGAGTATAGGAAGACACAGAAAAGGAAAAAAGGTTCTGCCGAAAGTCTTTTTGCATGTTGTCAGATGGCAAAGAAGGTGAGCGCGACAATTTAAAAAAGTAGACAGGAAGCAATTTTCAAAAAACTGGCTGATTTTGAATAAAGCGCCGCCGATAAGTTTACATTAAGCTAAAAAGGGAAGGAATTTTTAAAACAAGAAACAGGCGGAATACTAGATGACACTGAAATGGAGAAAAAATCTGCCCAAAGTCTTATCATACGCTGTCATATGGCAAGGAAATTGAGCACCATAATTTAAAAAATGGACAACAAGAAATTTTCGAAAAATGACGGATTTTTAAGAAGGCGCCTCTCTAAGTCTAAATTTAGTCAGGAAGCCCGGAAAATTTCGACCAGAAGGAAGGGTAGATAATGAGGGATGTTTGCAGTCACACGGAATTTTAGTGCGTATTTTGGCGTTGTCATTTACTTGGGGTCATACTTCCTACCGTTACCCCGAACCTGTTGAGGAAGTCGAATTACCCTTCATAAAGTTCGGTTTCGAGTACATTCATTTTACGAAATTATACATTAGATTGCCTTTTAGGACAACGATTGTTTCCAGAGAAACATTTGGATTGTGGAGCTTTGGCAGACAATAGAATCCGATTGGAACAGTCTCCGTTGGTTTCGTTTGTCGCAATTCGTCTTTTATTATCATATTTTGGCATTTGAAGTTTATTCTGCCGACCTGTTACTGCTCTGGCTTGGGAGTCCTGTGGTGGTCTCTAAAATCCTGTGTCAGCAAGCAGAATCTTGACTTTCTTATTGTAGCCGTCTTGATTCCTTACGGCAACTGATCATCCCATATCAGCTGCAGAATGGTAATTTCTTCGCCAATCCACTGTTCCTTCATAGTCTCGATCCACTCTGCCAAACACTTTCAGTTGATCTGTGCGCCATCTGAAAGGAGGTGACAATTTGTCGAACGGAGTGCCTCTTGTCGTCGGTTGTTTTAGTTCTTACAAACATGGCTTCCAAGGCTGCAAGATGGACAGAGTCGGCATCACGGTGTTAAAACTAGCTCAATGCCGTTGCACGCGCAGATGCTGCTCCGATAGCTGCTCAGATAAGAGGCTGTGGACCAAGTTCGAGCCTCCCCTGTCGGATAGTTGTAAATTAATCCGTTTCCGTTCCAAAACTGCTCGTTTCTTGGCTGCTCTGTGATGCGCCACTGCAGAGACTGTCTTACGGATGTCTTCAGCGATGGAGTCACCGAGCTCGCGGGCACAATCCCTTCTAGTCTGTTCGAATGCAGTCTTGTATTTTTTCGACACCTCTGGCGGCAGTCGTTTAGGACTCTCGTTGTCTGCTTGTATCACAACTTCTCTGCCCGTGGCCATGTTAACGCTGCGTCAGGCCGTCTTGGATGCTTTTGTGCAAAAAACATAGTTGCCTCTCGTGTAGCAAATATCATCCAAATACAAGCTGTCAGAATTCTATCACACCCGGAGGGGACGATGACGACAATGACTGTAATGATGATGATGATGATGATTATGGTGGTGGTGGTGGTGGTGGTGGTGGTGGTGGTGGTGGCAGCGGCGGCGATGTTGGTGATGGCGATGATGATGATGAGTCCTCAACGTTGCATGCAATCGGAATGCCAATAAGCTTGTGGAAGTTCGTTTCAAAGCAGTTGAACTTGTTATGTGCTTGTGGTTTAGTTTGAAGTGTAGCCGTGTTAACGCGGCGTCAGGACGTCTTGGATGCTTTTGCGCAGAAGAAACTTGACCCTAATTATGACTAAACTCTCGTCGTCCGGCGGGGCCTCGTAGCTCAGATGGTTAGAGCGCTGACCCTGCTGTCGTGGGTTCGAACCCCACCGAGGTCCCGAGTTTTTCACGTTTGGGTCAGAGTGAAAAACGTAGTTACCTTTCGTGTGGCAAATATCGGCCGGTTATGGGCTGTCAGAATCCTATCGCGCCCGGAGGGGGAAGGCGATGACGATGACCGTGATTGATGATGATGATGATGTTGTTGTTGTTGTTGTTGTTGTTGATGATGATGATGATGATGATGATGATGATGATGATGATGATGATGATGATGATGATGATGATGATGATGATGATGATGATGATGGTGATGATGATGATGATGAGGATGAGGATGAGCATGATGAGCATGATGAGTCCTTGGTGCTGTGTGTGCCTGTAATGCCGATGGGTTTGTCGGAAGTTCGTTTCAAAACAGTTGAATTTGTGGTTTAGTTCGAAGTGTGGTCGAAAACTCCTAAAACAGACATCGGTAATTACTTGTAAAGCATGCACTTAGATTGATGACGTCGAAGCCTATACTGTTACGCATGAAGTGCACAACAGCCCTTGAAGATCGCCCCCTGAATAAGGCATCTTCATTGCAGAATACTAATTATGTACTGTTTTCAATTAAATAGCAGCTCTTAATTTCGCCGGCTTCGTATCAATGGTGCAAACCAGCCAGGGTGAGTTCATAGGCAGTTTCTACGAGGAGGGGAAATTTAAGGAGCCTTATTTACCTTTCAAGCCATATCCTGTCATAGATTTATGGTTAAAAAGCCTACTTTTTGGATCCAGACAGCCTACGCATTTTTTGAGGGTCTGAAGATAGAATGCTCCGAAAATCGTAGCCTGGGCAAGTATTATATGAACGGAAGCACTGAGGGTTGGGCCCATTGGCTCCTTCTCAATGTGGCCTTTACGCCACCCTCACGCACGTGAGCTGCTATTACCAAAGACTGGCACATGTTGTGGGGGCCAGGTCGCGCACGGTACGCGTAGACGGGATGTTCAGCACCGTAAGCCACCGCTCCCGTCGCACCTTCGGTCGTCTTGACATTTGTGTGGCCATGGATGCTTAAAAGGTGAGGAGGGGAGAAATGCGTTAGGTGCTCCGCAAGTCCGCTACAACCAATTCACACAGAAGCCACCGATGCTGCGTCCACACCGTGGGGTCCGCGATGAACGTAATCGCTCGCGACGGTCGAAATGTAATCACAAGAACAAAAGAAATAAGACAATTTTTCGACCAAAACGTTTCACACGAAACTACCAGCTAGATCAATATTCCTGTTTGTTATGCGTAATGTTGAGCCGGTTAGTGTTGCATCCAACATCGAACTGTGGGCTCCTTCATGTGAGACCACAACGTTACTTAATGCACAATGTGTCTCAAAAGCTAACTTATTCACAAACGGGTCACGTGACAGATGCGCTAGCCCCACACGGGGACCATATGGGATCCCGGTGGGCGTTATCGAAATGCACACTATAACAAATTCCCAGATTTTGGGGTGCGCTGGCAGACCCGGTTGCCGGCAGACGTCGTGCACGCTGGGACCCCCGCCGCTCCCCATTTTGTTGTTGGTTAAAACCCTGGTCATTTACTGTGTGCACCAGGGGGTGTGGAGTGGAGCACCAAGGTACCAGCTCGATGGTGCCATCCATCCGCGCCCTCTCCCGTCTCCGGTCTTCTTGATTCTTGACACCGGACCCAGATGTGAAGGAGGAGAGAGTGCGATAGACGCCGCGCAAGTCTGCTACCACTGTAGACGAACTCACACGTAAGTCACCGTCCTTGCTTCACCTCGCCGCGGGGCACACGATGGACATCGTCGGAAACGACGGTCGAACTATCGTATTCCTAACTACTTCCAAAAATCAATAATACAATGGTGAAGTTACTTGTTGGCTGCTTTTCTTTTGAAAAGTCAAATTGACAAACAGGTGTTTTCGGTAGTTCTTCGTCAGGCCAATTCAGTTACATGGAGGAATGAAACTATACAAAATGCACAGCGTTTATAGGTGTCTCAGGGCTATAAAGTCTTTAACACTCGTCTTCCCCACGCCGGCCGCATGATGAGGTCGGCGGGTTTTAGTCCACAGGACTAGGGGAGGGGAGTAAGAGAGACTTTGAGTTATATCCTTGGATGGAATACACGGAGTACCCATTACTGTAATTAGGGATTTGGGCGACATTTCGAAACTAGTTGAGGTTGGCGTCGACCACGGTGGAGGGAACGCTTGCGTCAGCACTAAATTCGCTAGCCATATAACCACTGCTTCGGCCGTTGCTAGTATCCGTTGGCGTAGGCCTTTAGAGAAGCTTTTTGGTGTCCGATAGTCAACACGAAATGCTTCCTTGGCATCGACTCGGTGATTCGTATCGATTAAATGGGCGAGAATACAACTCGAAATCTACCGGGTCTCACCTCTGCCTAGCCAGACCGTCATATGTTCACGCACCCTCTACCAGGCGTCTCGTTATACGGCCGATGTATCCCGCTTCAGAGGAGCAAGTGAATGAGTAGATGCACATTGGTGTGGCCTCCAACGGTATTCTGCCTTTACCTCCCAAACGTAGGAGGAGAGATTTTGTGAGGCATACGCGTAAATCCGTTGCGGGGAATGCCCTCGTGATAGCTGTACTTAATCACCGTCTGACTGGTTTGCTCTCTGCGTCCCCTGCTAAAACGTCCAAACGACAGACAGGTGAGCACTGTATAATCCGGCCCGTGATGTACTCAACCACCTCCGTTACTATCACTTATGTGTGTTGTTGTCCTTGTCTATTTTGGCAGGTTTAACGACCATGATTGATAGACAAGACGCCGGCGACTGGCTGAGTTTACGTGATTGATGGCAAAAACAGTCCACTTATCCATCCGCCTCGCAATGCCGCGGAACTCCAGGTAATCAGGTTAAGCGGCCAGATTCCTGGACAGGCGGTTACCTGGACAATTTAGTCGCACGCACGCACATGCGCTCCGATACGAACGTGAGCGTACGGGCGCAAGCTCACGTGCCCGAAACACATCCACGGCCTGTCTTGTTTTGCATCTCACGGCCTGCACGTTAGACCCGCGCCCCTCCCTTTCGTGTTAGCAACCGAGTGCGCTGCACGAAACCCACATCCGTGCATGCCATCACGACCCGATTTCTTTTGTTCCGCTACCCTCGAAGGGGGGTGGGCGCAAGCCCTGCATTCGTCCAGACATGCGCCCACTGTTGCGTAGGTCGTAGTTGCATTATTCTGAATACATTTACCTGCAAGCATGTAGCGCAGGAGAGGAAACAGAGTGCGTTGGCCATGCGAGCAAAGATTACGTGTGGTGTTGCGAAATGCTGGGGAAGACGGATAAAGGTAGTGTGGGTTATATGTGGTGACTTACTGAATCCTGGTGAAGCTTATTGTACACCAGTATTGCATTTCATGTGCACCATGTAACACTCCACTACAAAGGACCATGTTGCAGATGCGTAGGATCAGAATCGCGTCTTCGAATAAGAAGGATTACTTAGGTTGAGCTGTAATACTAACTATTCTGTGGCATCAGGATGATGGCTCTTAATCGCACTTCCTTTTAGCCGGCTCCAAAAACCCTACTCGGTATAAGACGATTGCTTAAGTAGTGTGCATTTTCCCTATCGATTTTTAATGCTCCTATAAATTCAAACATATCCTATAAGAGACATGGATGAGAATATTCTTTTTTGTGTTTATTTGATGGCACATTGCCCCAAATGCCCCAGGTCAAAAAGCCAATCTATTGTTAACTCTCAGTTGATGTGAAATTGCAGTCGTTCTACCAGAGGCCTGGTGTGAGTAATGGGGACCAGATCCTGTGTGGAACGCGCAGACTGGCATTTCGGCCAGTGTCTGCGCCCATCTGTGGTCACCTTGACGTTGTCTTGCGATTGGAGCAAGGTGGATGAGGGGGAGTGAGGTAGATGCTTCGAAAGTCTGTCCGAACGAAAACGCGCAAGTCCCCGTCATGCGCCTACTCCGTGGGGCACATGGGGTGGGCGTCGTCACTCCCGGCGGCCAGCCTGTTGGGCTGCCTAAATCATGCTGGTGTGTTGCTGAGCTGGACCGAACCTGAGACTGCATACCCTCAAGACATGCACTTCTCAAGCCGCACGAACATAATGTGGACCCCGAGAGGCGCGGTTTTGCAGCGTGCGCCCGACGAGGGGTCACTGCATCCTTTGTGGCAACTTCACGTAGGTGCTACCGAGACCACCCTGAATGGGGCTTGGTATGTGCGTAATCAGGATGTGCGTAATCAGTTCTGGGCCGGGTTGCCTGGGAAGACGGTTTGCCCGTTAGCCTAGCTGCTGGCTACCCGGCGCGTCCACAGGTGGCGGATAGTGGGACGACCTTCAGTGAAGGTTAGCTGCGAAATAAGCAGACCCAGGTCTGACGAATAAGCAGTCGCGGACTAGCAGCGACATTGCTACCAGGGTGCGGTGGGCTGAAGTCTGGCACGCTGAAAGCCTTATAAAATGCCGCAAAGCCCAATGGCGGCATTGTGACATGGCGACCGTAAACCGCCATTAAATAAGTTTACTTGCCACCGCTGCCTTGTGGTTAGGTTTTTAAGCCAAAGCGCTAGAGGAGACAACCTCGAACAAACAATCCGAGCGGCTGTTGGGGACCCGCCCGTATTCGAAATTCCCAAGAAACCTCATGCAACATGTCCAATAACAGTACTAAGACCCATGCTACGGCGTCCGCGGGAACCGACGCGCTCCGCAACCCTAGTCCAGTGGTGTGGGCGAATAGTATGCGAGCTGGACTACTCAATCGTGGAAGGACTCTCGGTATTGGATGCTGGAATGTACGAACGTTCCTGGACCCTGGTACCCAAAGTCTGACCGCACGCAGCCTTTATCAGTACAACGTGGATGTCTGCTGTCTGTCTGAGGTACGACTCCCTGACTCGGGCTCTCGCGAAATAAAGATCCCGGGAGTCGAATCCCACTTCACCCTGTACCACAGCGGCTCCCGCGATTCCTCTGGTCGACACGGTGTGGCGATCGCCTTATCACAACAAGCGGAGCTTGCGCTACTTGCTTGGGAACCAGTAAATGACCGGATGGCCTACGTGCGACTGAAGGGTCACTTCACGAACATCTCCATCGTCGCTGTGTACGCACCAACTTCGGCTGCCGAACAGCGCGATAAAGAGGCGTTTTACTTTCAGTTGCAAGCGCTAGTTGAAAGACTGCCTCGCCGCGATCTGCTGATTGTTGCTGGCGATTGGAATGGTCGAACTGGACCTGGCGACCCCACAACCAGTCATCTTCTTGGCCGCTTTGGGCTTGGTTCTCGATGTGAAAATGGTGAGAGATTGCTGCACTTCGCTGATCGAAACCGACTGCTTGTCACCAACACATGCTTCCAGCATCGCAAAAAACATCTGCTGACCTGGTATTCAAACGACGGTCGT